TTCCCCACTACTCTGTGTTGGGTCGGTCGTTTCCAAGACAACCATTCGTGGCTTTGCCACGTCTGTATTAGGCCTGCCCTGCCCCTCTCTCCTCCCCATGGAACATTTACTGTTTCTCCTTTTTTTTTCTTCTTGCTAGCTGTTGATAATCCCCACATTTTAACAATTAATACACTCCCTTCATTTTAATTTAATTATCACACTTGTTATATATAAAAAAATTATCACACTTATTAAATTTAAATGTTTTAATTTAATTATTTTTTTATTTATATAAGATATTAAATGTTACTCCTTTCTTAAATTAATATTTTCTTTTTTTTATTTCTTAAAATTGACAACTAATTTTTTTTCTAATTTAATATTATCATTATCTTTTTTAATTAATTATCCTATCACAAAAAGTATCTTTTTATTTTTAACTTTTTCTTAATAGTAATAAAGTTAAATATACAAATTGTCTTCAAATTTTAAATTTAAAAAAAAATCAAAAAATGATAATTATTTTAGAATAGATGGAGTATTATTTTAACTTTAAACTATTAATTTAGTCTATTACAAAGCTGATAAACATTTATTGTAGGTAAATGTTTTAATTTAACACATAATTCATCCCTAAATTATCCAGGTATATATAAAGTCAACCTAGAATAACTAAAATGGAATGTGTTGTACATTCAAGGCACCACCACACCACTCTCATTGTTGAGTTGAGCAACTTGGCTAATAACACAACAACACTCGAACAAAAGTCTAACATGTGAAGTCACCATCTTAGACTCAAAAAACTAGTATGTTATGTTTATGGGTCTCTATATATATATCACTTACTTTTCACTCTCCACTTTCAAGGTGGGATTTTTTTCTCTACTCACATATCAACATATCAACACTCAATAATCTCCCCCGTTCACTTATAAATCTTTAACATCTCATGCTAGTGCACCTTCATGAGGTGAGGGAGGAGACCCTTTCACTTGTTTGAGATATACACAACTCCCCATAAGAGTAACATTGTTGTCCACTTCTCAAAACCCAAAAAGAGTGAAGGTACTCATTGTATGCAAACTCTCATGACATCGAACCCACCACTCTTTCTCAGAGTGTAAACCTTTAGCTTTGATACCACTTTTGGGAGTTTAAGGTGGCATTACTCTCATTATTGGGTTGAGTAATTGCGTCAACATCCACACTTGAGCAAAAACTCAACATGTGAAGATATTATCTTTAACCTAAAAGACCAGCATATTAGGATCACGAGTTTCTATGTATACAAGCTGCTTACTTTTCACTCTTTACTTTTAGTATACGATTCTCTCTACTCACATGTGAACACCCAAAAGAAAAGAGTAACAAAAATCTTCACGCGATCTTGAATGTACTAAACAGCATAAAGCTAATCATTAAGTAAAGGCAAATTCCATAATATAGGGGCTTGTCCTTAACACTTGTTTTATCTGATGATTGTAATTTTACAATTCGATGCACTGGATTGTAAAACTACGAGCTCTCAAAATAAAAACATAAATGCTAGTATTCACTTATACATTTAAATTTTTGACATGTAATTATGCATAATACTTTTATAATAAAATTTTGAATAATTCGCACAAAAAGAGTTTGGTAGAGGAAGGAAAAACATGCAAATGTCTGTATCTAGTCTCACCATGATCCCTATAAGATTTCATAAAATATAAAAAAATAATGAAGAACTTGAGATCTCCGATCCTCATGCAATTCCTAAAAAGATCAACTTTTGACAACTAAGAGAGAAAAAAAAGGACTGATTTCTTATTGCAACATGCTTTTTAAATTCAATTAGAAAAGATCTTTAGACACGATGTCATCAAGACTAATAAACACATCATACAAATTAATTAGTTGGTGTGACTTGTGATACCTTTAGAGTTCTTCTAGGAATACAGGGTAATGATATTTTTTTATTATAAATATATATAAATTAGTTTTAATTTTATTATTAGTGTAAAGTAGATGAATTTAATTAACTAGTTAATAAATTAAATTTTTATTTTTATTTTTAAATATAAATTTATAATAAAAATATATATTTGTTTTTTCAAATCCAAAAAAGTTGAAAAACACCTTAATAGCTTATTTGGTTTTAGAAAATGGAAGGGAGGGGGGAGAAGTGACCTTAATTATTTCAATTAATCAAATTAAATCATTGAGTTAACAAAATAATTTAATTGGTTGTAATTATTTTTCCTCTTCCTCCCCTTTTCTCTTCTCAAACCAAATAAGTTGTAAGAGAATGAAGAATCATTTTGTAAAATTTTGAAAGGAACTAGAAATATATAATAGCTTGTACATGGGCTACATAAACTAAAATGATTCAAGATAAAATTTGTTATTAGTCTAACAATTATTCAACCCAAAATTTACATGTTTTCAAGAGTTTAAATTTAAACTATTAATAATAATTAATTTCTATATTTTTATATCACATTTAATCACAATTTTTCACCAATATAAAATTCAGGACGTTGCATAAACTCTCGAAACAAACCGTAGAAGGCCCGCTGCTTAGGAAGAGGTAAAAGGATGGTGGCTAAGGTTTTTTTGACAGGCAGGTATAAAGTTCTAAATAAGTTTAGATTTTACAATGGCAAAAACCCTTCCTAAGCCCTTCAACTTTTTCAACAGTAAGTGATAAACTCCTAAACTAAAAGGGTGCAAATAAGCCCTCCAACCCCACGTTTAATGCAAATCAACCCCTACACTAACTAATTCCCGTAACGCCGTTTGTTATCGGCGTTCGTGGCATTGCATACCTTTACATTTTTTTTCTTCTTTTACTTCAGTTGTTTTAAATGATAATATATTTTTTTAAAAATTAATTTTTATCTTTTCAATAAAAATTTATTAAAATAATATAAT